TTTATTTGTTTCTTCTCTCTCTCTCTCTCTCTCTCTCTCTCTCTCTCTCTCTCTCTCTCTCTATGCTCACGTACTATCAGTCATTTTATCGTCATCCTTATCCTCCGCATGATCTTGCATCGTGACGTCATCATCTTGCGTGTCTTCTTCCTGCATCGTTTGTATATTTTCTACTCGGCTGTTCGCCCCCAATGGATTGCGAATTTCATTTCCGTGTTGATCAAGCTTCACCCATACGTAACGACCGGGTAGAGGCTCTTCCTTCTCAAAGTCGAAGTTCCACCTCTCCTTAGCCTTTAACGTTCAAACGAAACGCAACAGTTTCAATAACGTTGTTCCATAGTAATAATAATTCTTACTAGATCAAAATAAACTATTACTTTACGTACGTTCTCTCGGTATTTTCGAGCCTCTTCGAAAAAACAATTGGCAACATTGTCCTCGATACGGGAATTTCGCCCCGATTCCGTTTCATTATCGTCATCGTCGTCTTGAAAAAGTCTTCTTCGCACGCTACGGATCCTTCTCCCCTCTTGTATATCGATGTTTGGATATTGCATCATGAGTCGAGCCCTTCGCACAGATTCGGATTAAATTCGTAAAAAAAAAAAAAAAAAAAAAAGAAAGAAAAAGAAAAAGAAAGAAAAAGAAGGAGAAGAAAAGAAAAGTGAAAAAGGAAAAGAGAAAGAAACGTTAGAACTTTCACGAAGATTATCGCTTCGAGCGGAGAGCTACCCGTAATAATGTAATAAAACAGAGCTATGACAAATACGATAGGAGAGTAAAATATACAGATAAACATAGGCTCGAAGGTGACATGCTGTAGGAAAAAACAAGGAAAAGGATTCGCAAGTGTGTATGACAGGTTTAGTTACCAATGCTACGCACGATTTAGCATAGATAATAGCTCTTTGTGGTTTGTAAACAATGTGATATGCTTCGAGTGAGTTGCCGCGTTGCAAGAGTATGCAAGCCTGCAAACGTGTGTTGGCCAACGAGAAAGAAAGAAGAGAACAGAAGAGAAATCTATAGCACTCTCGGTCAATGTGCCGTTGAACAAATGTATTGGAATGCATATCACTTCCTGCACGAACCTACCACTGCATACCGGGTAATAGTAGTTGTTATTCGACACATAGACGAGATAAACTTTCACGTCTGATCTTCGATCGTATAAATCGTATAAATAATTTCCGCGACGAATACTCGATAAAAATCTGTCTATCTTTTCGCGCTTTCTTTTTCGAAGAATCGTGAAAATGTCGTTGGCTATCGAGGCTGATTCTCGATTTCATTCACCGACAATATTGACATTTCGTTCTAAACTGGTTTTGTCGACGCTTTCACTGGCTAAGCTTTTGCTACTCGAGTAACAACGCGTTAGTAAGCTCGATTTGATTTAATCGAATGCTCCTAGGCGAAATACGGGCAAAAGATACGAAAAATTATAAGTTTCTTTTTTTTTTTTCTCTTTTTTTGTAAAATTATACTCACAAAGAGGAAAACAAATTACACGCGTGACAAATTACACTTAATTCTTGCTTTTACTCAACTCTTTTATTAACTTAATTATTCGTGATAATTATTTGCGATAAAAAGTTTCAATTTATAAAATTCTGAATCTGTTCATCTCGTTCAATTTCACGATAAATTCGACCCGAATAAGGGTGTGAACAGCGTGGCGTGAATCTATATCGCGAGAGCGAATACAACATAAAACAGAAATAGCATAAAATAAAGAATTGTTGCAGAGAAACGTGCACCTGTCATCTTTGTATCCGCTAATTGCGCTCGTTTTCGTTTTTTCCGTTATCGTAAAAATGTTTTATTTATCTCGGTAAACGAGAAAATTTCATTCCAAGGCGGTTCAAACATCGATAATTGTAGCGATGATAAAATTTTGCTCGCAAGGTCAGAAGATAGGAATCGTAGCTATACGTCCCATGTTTAAAAACGATCTGGCGCATAATATCCAATCCATGCAGGATCGAAAAAAGTCTCGTGCACCGATAAAACTAACGATATAATATCCTCGTGGCGTGGTTTTTATTACTCACTGTCGTGCGTCGTGATTAATTCGCGTGTAAATTACGTGGCAGGGATCAGCACAGTCACAGTTCAGCGACACGTAGCAGAGCACAACGGTTCGATGGTCCCAGACTCATTACGAACGCGTGTTTTCTTCGTTTCCTTCGTAAAAAAAAAAAAAGACGTGCGCGTCCCCGGCACGGTTTGTGGCCGTGTCAGCCTAGCGAAAAGTTCTTGGCTCGAATAGCAACGCGATCGATAATTCCATCGTTTTCGTCGGGGGTGTGGACTGGCACTAAGGTACGAGGGGGTATTTTAGTGCGCGCGCACATTGCAACGAGAGAGAGATACTCGGCGAGTGCGCATTCGCACGGATATCGATATTTGACACTTTCAGCGCGCATTCTACTCGCCATTCCGTCTCTCTCTCTCTCTCTCTCTCTCTTTCGTCGTTACATCGTGATCGTTCGATCGTGACCGCCGATTTTCTTTTTTCCCACCGTTTCCATTGAAAATACGTCAACACACTCAACATACGCGATCAGGTTAGAAAAATATACGAGTCTTGAACGATTTAGAAAAACGTTAATTATACGTAGTGGCCTTGAACTAACCTAGGTCGTCGTTCGCTCGTTACTTGTCGGTCCCCGGAGCTACGAATCGGTCGCGTATCCGAATTCACCGGCATTCGTCGTCCCGAACCTTGGAAAATATCACTGACATTGAAACCACCGATCAACACCGATCGAAAAGCTCGATATTGATTATAAATTCGAACGAACGGAATTAAATTTTCGAACAATCGATCCCCACTCCTCTCCCAACACCGATCGTTTACCGATTCTCAACGCCAAATAAGGAAAGAAAATATATATATATATATAAAATTAAAGGAGAAAGTGTGGGTAAAGAAAGAGCAGTACGTCGAATGCGCCTCGCGTTCGGATTCGTATTTTTAATCGAAATAAAAATAATACGCGTGTATCGTATTTTTTCGCGAAACGAAAATATACGAAATAAAATTTTCTTTGTCGCGTGATCCTCTCTCTCTCTCTCTCTCGCGGCATCCCTTCGAAGGGATCGTGTCCATTTGACCGGCGCGCACCGCTACTCGACGTACTACTGCTATTTGTCCCACTTTTCCCCAGTTACACATTCCGTTCCCTCGCTTCACCTCGAGGTGAATTCGTGACGATTCCTTAGAAGAGAAAAACACGCTACCTTGGTTACGCGCTCTCTCAACGTGTTTTCGAAAATTTAACCGAGCACACAACGCACCCCGTGAATTGTCCGCGATCGATTGCGATTTCACGGGAGAAACGGTGAAACGCTGCAGCTGATGCAACGCTTAAAGTGCGACTGGCGGAAAGTCGGAATAGTTACTTGCATCCCTGGTGCAGCTCGCTAGCCTAGATTCCGCTTGCAGGCCATTACTTGCGAGCAACACTGGAACAGACGCATGCGCGAATACCCATTAACAGAATGGTTCATTGTAAAGTAGTCGTTCATCCTAGGACGCAAATTTATCATCGTTCCGGCCGACGATCGTTACGATACACGGCTTGGCGACAACCGTACGTAGAAAAATAACCGTTCTTCCTCGAATCGGCCGTCGATTATACGAAGAAGAAAGATTGTTCGTGTCTTCTTCTTCGACGCGAATTATCGATCATCGACAACACGTAGTCTTTGTTCTCTCTCTTCTATTATCTAATCCTCGAATTGGAAGAAGATATCGCAACGATGAGACGATCGTTCGATATTAATTTTCGATCGAGGTTATATCGTTGTCACCGCGAGTTATCGAATTGTTTATCGTGGACAGATAAACCGATCGATCGATACATATTTGCGAGGTGATTGAATAAGATCGCCAAGAGGAAAGGTATGCCGTCTCGTTTCGCGTTGCCATGGTGAAAAACCGTAACGTTTCCGTGAGAGTATAGCTGTTGCGTACAGCCGAGAATGGCGAGAAGTAGAACGATAGGAAATTCTCACATATAGGTAGATATTCTCTGGAGGATTCTTCGAAGTAAAAAAAAAAAAAAAAAGAAAACGACAACTGAGAGCAAGCATCTCGATCATCTTCTCCTTTATCTTTTACGCTTGGCTTCTTGGCTGCTTCCACGTATTCGTGTTTCTTCAACTTCCGAGGAAATCGCCGCAACTAGATCGTGCATAATTGTATCTTCTTTTTTGCTTCCTTTTCTTTTTTTTTTTTCTGTTTCCTTTCCTATTCCCTCTCGTTCCTTCCCTAGCAACCCACGCAGCTGTCGATCATAGGGGACGAGCACGCCTTTCGAAAGGCTTCGAGCAGCGGCGTTAAACGCCGTGCCATCGATATTTCGCCAAACGACAGCTGATGTTTCAAAATTTTCCCTCCCCTCCGATCTCTCGAATTTCAACCATCCTTCGATCGATGAAAAGAAAAAGAAAAAAAGGAAAAAAGTATCCGCCAGTGATACACGCCTCCTCTTTTTTATCTTTTCCACGTCTCGTGGATTTTAATTTTAATTTTAATTCATTTTTAAATCGGTATTTAACATATCGGGTGATCAACGCGTTGAATAAGTCATGAGATTAATGACTCGAGTCGCCATGCTCGAAATCACGAGATTCCTTTAATATATCGCATGCAACTGCGCGTAACATCTGTGAGCGGCTCGATTTCTTTTTTTTTTTTTCAACGTGTTCGTTTAACCCCCATTCCGAACGAAATAGCGAAGGAAAGAACCGTTGCTGACCAGTAATTATTCCGCTCGAACTATCTTGACGAATGGGTGGTTTCTCAGAGAATAAATCTCTACGAATAATTGAAATTCTTTCTCGATCGAGAAAGTTGCTCGCGCGGCGACGTAGATAAATCGCAATCACAGTCAAAACAATCGTCGAAGCATCGTTAGATGGCAGAAAAAAATTCGCTGGCCGGTCGATAGAGGAAATTGAGCGCTGGAAAGCATCCAGGTTAAAGTTTGCAGTGCGTTTAAACGTTCGCGCGTGTGACCGGAATGAACACGTCTCGGCCAGTTGATGACCGTGTCTGATTAATATTAACGCTAGAGAGAATCGAACCGTTACATACCAAAAAGAGAAGCACAACTGTAAACGCATTTCTTTCTCTCTTTTCATCGAGCTTGAAAACTGAAACTTCCGTTCGGATTAAATTCCAAGCAGTTCCTTGAAAATTTTCGCGTGAAAATCGAAATTTCGAGAGCAAACTGGTGCGCGCCAGAGAGTGGATAGAGATCGACCGACGCAGTGAAAATCGCATAATTTTTCCAACTCGTACTTCGATCGTGATTCCACTTCGTGATGAGAAGTCGTTGAAGCGAACCGGACGATGAACTACGCTCTGCCTTTTCAACGATGAGAAATCACAACGAGCCGGGTCTTTCACACTTTCCCTTCTTTTAAACCGAATTGTTGTTGCGCCCATTTCCCATCGTCCTTGAGAATCAATCAATCAAATCGCCTGATCAAATCGCAAGTTTGACCATTTCTCTCCCCTCCTTATCGATAATCGTACGAGGTAAATTTGTCTTACACGAGATAGATTGGACGATAAGGGCAATTCACCATCGAAAGCCTGTAATTTCTGTGCAAACACTCGTTCCGGCGAAACGCATTTTCTGCATACCTTCCTCGACGCGGCATTTTAATCGACCCTGTTGGAAATTGCACACGCTTCTCGCGGCGAAACCTTTCTCGAACGGTCGCGTAACAACCAATTCCATTCCCCCGAGTGAATGGAATGCATATTCATTCATTCGTTCGTTCGTTCGTTCCTTCCTTCCTTCCTTCCTTCCTTGGCGATCATCTTTTCGCGATGCACGTGTCGCGCTTGAATTTCGACATATGCTAAAAATCTTTCTCTGCCCCAACTGTCGTTTCCTGCGTGCACTCCACGGACCTTGAAATGTATTCCCACCGAAAGGAATCACCTCGGTCACGCTTCTCGCCCGACGATCAGAACGTGCAGAAAAGAAAGCGATGCTCGAGCGTGGAAAGGAAGCCGGATCTGTATTTCCGATTTCGTCCCATTTCTATTACCACGATCTTCTCAACTTCCCGCGAATAATACCCTGATCTTAGGCAAAAAACGTCCCTTTTGATCAAAACATGTTTGCTCGTTTTCCTCTCCTTTGTAACAGGTCGAGTTAAATGACTCTGATCCAGTCAGCAACGATTTCTCGAGAGAGAGAGGGAAACCAACCCCTTAGATCCATTGGAGCAGGCGACACCCTTAAAATTATTCTCGCGTGTTCCCTATCCTACTCGAACGTCGCGTGAATCGTTACGAAGGGCCTGTCCGATTCGAAACGGCGCGCCCTCGAGTATGTTTCCTGTCGGACGTTTTCATCCGACGCGTTTGTTTCCAGGGTTGGAAAGTTTCGATGGAAACGAGGACGGCGAGTCACGTGCGAGCGATCTGTCTCTCCGGGACATTTATAGAAACGAGGGACGTGCGATGACGTGATTTGGCGAGAATGAAATAAAATAAAAAAAAAAAAAAAGAAACGCTCGTGTGAAAGGGCGAATCAAGGTAAACGAGTAATCGAAGTTAATTAGAACGATGATTGAAATCGTTTATAGAGAGCGATTTATTATATTCGCACCTTTTTTTTATCGTCCGAGATCGAGCGTTATTCCAACGTAATTTAAATATGTGCATTATGGTAAATGGAATTGAATGACGCGTCGATGTATCGAACGATTAATTTATGCATTATGCTTTGCAAATGAATGACGTAGGATTATCGGATTGTCCGCAACTCGTGTAATTATATTTTCTTACGCTCGTTGACGGAAGAATTTTCATAACGGTGTTCAGAAACGGATGAGAAAATCAGTCGGCATATTCCGTAAACAAGAATTATTAAAAGTTCGTTAACCTGACATTCCACGATACGATAACAATGAGAAATCATCGTATACCGTTGGTCTTGAGAGTATCCGGTCACATTGTATATTCGGAATAATTTATGAAAAATTGCATATCAACCAGCATTTAAATATCAATTTTTGACACGTACCTATATTTAGTATTTCATTTGCATACAATGATAGCCTAGCTCTTTTAAAAGAAAATAGAATGCATGGTGGAAAGATTCAAGAGGTTTTGACAGTTTACTCGAAATTCCACTCTGAGCAAACGATTACTCGCAATCGCATCATGGCTGTCGCGTAACATATAACAATTATTACTAATGAAAATTGGCACACTTCCTGTTCCTTTTTTTGCGTTGCATTGGCTCGAACATTTGGAACGAGCGCTGTCCGTTCCGATCATATTTTCGATAGTAAATTCGAGACAATGAGTACGCGCCTACTAAAAATAGGTTAAGTCCACCCACCGAATCTAAATGGCCGTTCGGCTTTTCCGTTCGATTCCGTTCAGACTAAAATAGATTCACGTAGGTCGCGGACGCAGCTGTGGATTTCTATCTAACATTTATTTCGTGTTCGCGCACCGTTCACCCATTTGCGGCAGGTCAGTGACGTTACTCGGCCCACGTATCGTCTAACAAACGACACTCTTCTCAGACTTTCCATTGCAGAAATGTACAAGCATTGGAACAAAGCGATACGTCACGTGGATTCGATGAATTTTACGACTTTCCTCCGCCACGAATCTCGCCACTTTTTCGTCATTATGCCTATAGATTTTCAAAACGTTTATTTCGTTTCGCCGATAAAAAGACAATAATTCCATTGTATTTCGGTCTACCAGGATATAATAACACGTTCGTACGTAATCGATGAAAAGAGTTTCGCGTTCGAATTTCTTCCTGTCTCTTGTGCTGCGCAAATGCGACGGTGGCGCCAAACGATAAGAAAGTGAAAACGCCAACGTACAGAGCGCCTCCTGACCTACCAGACTTTCTAATACTTATTATCTATATCTATTATTTACGAACCGATATTTATAAAACTTTCTATTCTTTTTACCCTCGCGTTATTCTCATCGAGTTCGAAATTTTCCGTTGAAATTATCGATCGAGCAATTCGACACCGAGATATATCTCGTTCTACCATTGTTCCACCCAACAATGACAACAGTATCCATTGGATACTGTTTTTCATCGTTAGAGCAAAAAGAAAGGTGTGTTCCAGTTGCTGTGGGTGCATTCAACCTGTCCGGAATTTAAAACCCTCGCACGATAACCTCTTCTTTCGTACGCGGAGAAATCCAAGACTCGGCTTGTGAACTCGAGGAGCACAGGAAAGACCAAACCAACGATGTAACGTTACACTGTTAAATCCCGTATGAAACGTTAGTCACCAGTACTCTCTCCTCTCCCGTGAGTTACCGGATGCAGGAACGACCGCAACACGACAGGATCTATGGTGTCTGAAGGGATGTGCCTTATCGCGAGGGAAAGCTGGCACGCAGTGTCAAAGTTTCACTTTTATTAATACGGAGAATACGCAGAACGTATTCTAAATTCGTTCCTTATTTTTCCAATTAATCGGTTAATCGGGCGAAGCTAATAAAATCGGAGAGGATAGTATTTTTTATTCGTTACAAGCAAACAGTTACAAGCATTCAAGTTGTGTGATCTCACCTGTGTCTCGCAGCCAGCATGTCGAGCAAACGTTTCGAGCTCTGGAAAATGAATTTCGCGCAACAGCGACGGCAAACGTTCTGCGCAACGTTTCACGCGGTAACTGAAGCTTTCGCTTTCTTTACGAGGTGCAGAAACGCTTGCAGCGCTTCCACGTTTTAAAACCCCTCGAACTGCATTCCATACGCTTAATCCATCTACGTATGTCTATTTATAAGTGAAAGAGGCGGCATGGCTCTGAAATATATGCACCACAACCATGTGTAGACCATTGGATTGAACGTGGCCCATATACGCAGAAAACTCGTGTACGTGTGGTGTGCGTGTTTAACTTGGAGAAAGGAAGTCTATTTCCGGAAAAAAGGCAGTACCTCGAAATGCGGAGGAGAGCACCCGGTCTCCCAGTACCATTGCCTCACGAAAAAATCGTTCGTTCGTTCGTTCTAGGCGACAGAGCAAGGTTAAAAATAATCCAGTTGCAGACGCGACGACCGGTGTTCGGAGAAATATTTTTGGCTCGGCCCCCTTTCGATAAAGGGAAGGGGCCAACGATTTCGTGAACCTTTTAATTGAAATTGTCCTGTCTGAATTGTATATACCGGTCGATGGAAGGGAGGATGCGTATCTCGCGTTAAAAGGGAGGACATTAGAGGCGGAAGAACGTCTGCCCGTTTCGCGATAAATTTAAAACGCCGGGATCGCGCAGTCATCGCGCGACGTCCCGCCACCACTTATCTGTGAGTGGATGATGCACTTTCGACCGATCGAGAACCAAGAAGAGCTCTCTCTCTCTTTGATAATGGAATTCTCGGCCAGAATTGCTAGAACGTTGGAATTTTAAGTATATTCCTCGAGACTTGCTTTCGTACGATTTTTAATGAAATACAGCGCTGTTAGCCACTTTCGCGCGTACTCCGTTCGAACGAGGTTATAAACGGAATCTCGTAACTCGTCGTGACTCGAGGGAAAAATTTTCAAAAAAAAAAAAAATCTACCAAATTTGTTCCGGAATTTTTTAACATGCCGTTTTCACCGATATTAACAGCGAAGATTCGAGGAACGATCGTACCAAATTATTATCGAAACGCGGAACGACGAGGCTGGAGCACGACGGCTTCCGCGCAAGGAGGGAAGAAGCGTAGCAGGCGCTTAACGATTTCCAAGGCAGTTCCGAAGGCGGTGGTACGGAACGAGCGAAACACAAACGGACACTCGCTTTTTCGCTCTTTATATTCAGACTGGAAGTGATTTCACGCTTCGAAGGACCTCTCTCCGGCCTCCAGACAGGATCTAGGCGAGGCATCCTGCCAACGATACTCCCTTGCTCGAAAAACCTAGCAAGCCGTTAACCACACACCGATGTCGTCTATTTCTTCCATTTCGTTCCAGCCCCGCATTCTCTCTCTCTCTCTCTCTCTCTCTCTCCACCTCCTCGTA